CGATCAAAGAGAGCAAGAGGAGAAGCAGAAGCTCCTTAGATCGTGCGATGAATCGGAACGATCCGCTCGCGTTTGATCGTCGCGATTTATATTGTCTAACGCAAAAAGTAATGGATCTGAAACCGCTTGAGAAGCCATTTGGAATGATTTGCGTATCACGTGGAACTTGAATGTGTAACGGCCCCAAATTTACTACCGTTGTCTGACAGAATTCGTGTAATTTTGACGTTTTATGAAGGTTTCCACAATCGTCCCTCGACTATTAAGGCACTATATGATATATGTCAACTTTAAATTGGAAATGTCCAGAATAATTCGTGAAATTTAATTTAAAAATGGATGAACAGAGAACAACCTATACAGAGTAAAAGTCATACTCGTACCTTCCTAATGTATCCTTCGAGAAGTCCTCAATCGAAGCGACCGCCGATGATGCCACGATGATCATGATAAGACTCGTATCCCATATCTCGAGACAAGAAGAATTTTACATGATTTTAATTAAGCGTGTTTCAAGAATAAAATCACTACACCAATACAATTCAACTCACTGCATGAACGTTCACAATAAATTGCATTCGATGGTCCAATTTCTTTTCCAAAAATACAAGAAAGACTACTTGATCTCCCTTAAATAAACCTCTGTAGATCCGGTTCTTCGATATTCATCGAGTCCCCGAGCCTAGGTCAGTTATGATCTAAGATCGCCGGTGATTAATTTTCTCCAAACATGACAGCGAGCCGGTAGCAAATGCATTCGGTGAACACGCGCCGCGAATGACAATCCGATGCACTCGACGATGCACCGCATAATGCAGCGCTCGTGGTCACGTACGTCCAGCTCAACACGCGATGCGAATTGCTTCTTCTAACTTCTGAAATCGCACGACACGCCGCGTTTCGCGAGTTAACGACTGTACCTGATGATCTTATCTAAACTATCTCGGCTGCATCAATTAAGCCGACCCCTTCGGTGCACCTGACGAATACACGCGTTTCACTTTTATCTCGAGTCGAGTGTTGTTGCCACGAAACATCGGAGGATACTCGGATTGTCGACGTCGATGATTTATGTTCCGCACTCTTCTCGTCAGCCGGTTATGGTTTCGGCGAGCAGCGGACGGCGAGTGCACGCGAGATCGCCGAGTGCCAGGCCGCAAGTGCGCTGCTCAGGCAAACATCGAGGAGAAGAGGAAGATGGTACGACTACTGAAGGTGCTCGCGCCGGTTCCGAGGCGCATTCACCTTGCCAGGCCTCCACGCACTTGCGTCTGTCGCTTGCTCTGCATGTTTGTGTGTGTGTTTGTACGCGTAGATGCATACGTCGAACTCGTACACATGCGTACGCCAGCGTATCCGATTTGTTCTCACGCGAATGACCGACGATGAGTTTCTCTGTCGCGAAATCTAGAAACACCGGGTTTCCACAACCTTGATCTTGACCATCTTACGTCACGAAGACGTCGATCAGTCTTATTGTTAGATTGCTGCGAGGCGTCGATTAGGACCCGCTCAGCTGTCAAAGCCAAAATCGATATCAACGCAAGTCTATTTATTTTTAACCACCATAGATAAAAGAACCATTCAACCTTTTAATTCATTCATGGCTAAAGACTTCCCCTGGAATCTTCTTGAAACAATATTCAGATATTTTATGATAAAGTTTGTGTAACAACAAAAGAGAGGAGTCTAGTATAAACTGGTACATCAAGGAAAATCACAGAAGAAGATTCTAAAGGTGCTTTCCATTTAGCAACACAAGACAAATATATCATTCCATCTATTTACTAATGTTGAAGAAAAATAGAATAAGCCTCGTGTCGCTAAATGCAAAGCACCTTAAGACTCTTGGAGCGCCTCATTTCACACGTCAAGGAGCAATTAAATGAAGGAGCTCTTTGTAAGGGAACCGCAAGATCGACACGAAAGGAAGAGGACCCTTTTGTTTTTGGTTGAAAACTGGCAGAAGAGAGATCGCTAAAAGAAATCGCTTATACGTCAATGCTCGAAAAAAGAGGAGAAAGAACACGCGAATCTAAGACGGCCTCCAATTACTTAAGTCGATTAGTATGCCGTTAATCGCGTTAATGAGAACGCGCTTTGACGGAACTTAACGCGTTTAGAATACATTGTACGCACACACACCGCGGTCACACTCTGAATACGACGAAACGTGATATTTAAATATCGCGAGTCGCTCGGCTGGATGATTACGAGCGACAAGAAAATTCGCGTGAAAGGGATCTCCTGCTGCAAAAACGTCTCGTTGTAAATCATAGATTCGCCGAACAGAATATTGGCGCGAGTTTCTATTTTCTATCTTCATAAAAATAACTGCGTATCGAGATTATTCAAAAATATTTAATAAAAAATATTTAATTATTTAAATATTTATAAAAAAATTTATAAAAATTTTAAATATTTATAAAAATATTTAATAAAATGAACGGAAATGTAACGGATAATGTGTGCTTAAAACATTTCGGACAAAATCCGGAAAATAAATGTAAATCTCTTACATTAGTAAAAATAAAAGTTTGACATGTGCAAATTTTCATCCTCAGAGATCATGTAAAATATGTCTTTTATTTGTAAAATAATTACACTATTTTTCACAAGTTATTTTTTCTGTCTACGAAGAGAAATTACTTATCACATTTTATCCGCCTAATGATTCGAGTATCAATCGATCAATTGCCTTCGATCAACCGGATCTTCGAGAAAAAAAAATGAGCGCGAAATGCGCTTTTAAGTATATTTATCTAATTAATTCATCTTACTGATTGATATATCGACAAGTTCGACATGTTTTCTACTTTCTACCATAACAGCGCGGACAAAAAAAGGGGGAAAAAAGCAAAATCGAAGCGAGGAGAGAAAATGTAAAATTTGCACACTTTGCGCTTTCGAGTGAATGCGCAAGAAAAGATTATATATGCATACACGATGCAGCTTCGATGCAATAATTTGCATATGACATAGAATCGTTAATTAACGCCGACGTTGAATCAGAAACGAGAGCTGATTGGAGCTAATTTAGAGCAGCACGAGGACATCTTTCGCTCAATGACAAACACTCATTGAAGCTACGCCTAGATACGTAGGTTGAATTCATTTCTCTGTTTACACATTAGCTTATTGCACATTCCAATGTAAAATAATCAAATGTATATATCAATTAAATTATCTTATTAAGCTAATTAAATTATTCATATTAAAAAAAGAAAATATTTCGACTTCTCCTTATTATTAGTATCAATCTTATTAATATATATTCTGTCATAATTTAATTTAAAATGCAATTTCGTGCATATACGTAATTTAAAAATTAAATAAAAATATTAAGAAAATATATGAAATATATAAATAGATATATAGATGTATATGTGTTCAACTCGTGCATCTCGTAAGCAGTTGCAACGATAATGTCTCGCGTGCAAAGAAACTCGCTGGCACAAGAAAGCAATATTTTTCGATTCAAATGTGTTTCGCGTGTCAATACCGTTGCCTAAATTATCAGACGGCCTACCAAGTGTAAATCGCGACATGTGTTTGTGCGAGTGCAACATGTATGTGTATATACGAGGTAAAAATAACGGTACGGGGTGATCTCTCATCACCGAAACTGGTTCCCGGAATAATTCCCGACGAAGTTCCCATTGAGAGACGCGGCCCATATGGCATTGAAACAACCACGCGAGTCTACCACCTCGTAGAACGTCCCTGTTTTTTACGCAAATAGAACGCCGCTTAATTCAGATCATCGTTCGTGCGCTTTTCCGCGACAGGTAACTCATTTTCGAAGGCAAGTGCATCTCGTGCAGCCGAGGGAGAAAGATACTGTTGCATCTAGTGCTTTGGACGAATGACAGGCGCGTGCTCGACGACGTGACGCGTGCTACTCACGTGTCGGAAACCAGTTTCGCGTGAAACGCGAATGATTCCCGAGGAAGACGCTATCCATCGTGTGTAATCTCATAATTAGCCGTTTCAATCGAGTATCACCTGACACGTCCGTGACTAATAACGACTTCGAGAAATTTTGAACTCGATCGTAAATTCCATTTCGATGATAAGATTAATTCTACCACGTGAGGCATCGCTGCTGCTTGTTAATATTTTAGTGCCAGGCCAACGAAAACCGTAATAAAAACATCCCATTTCGTCTACGGTAATCTTGATCGCGATACGCAGTCGGACCACAAGTAAAATCGATTTGAATCTCGAGACGGAGTCTGATTTACCGTTTTACCTGCTCGTTTGCACCGAGCGTAAAAAGACAGCTGGAGATAAAACTTTCGCGAGACACATGGAGCAGTTTTTCAAAGTTTCAAGATTATAACCATGTTTCCAGCCGAAATATTATTATATTTGACAGTACAAGTATGCATGTATAAATATTACACGTATTCATTTTTCTAATATTCTCTAGTCTTTTAAAATTCGATGCACGTTTCGCTCCGAAACTCCTTCTATATTGTGTTTCGTCAAAGAAATATATTATTTTTATGCAAACTTTCTACGCTATAAATTTATTATAAAAAAATATTATATTATATTATAAATTTATTAATATATATTATATTATTTTATAAATTTACTAAATATATTAAATATAAATTTATTAGGATAAAAATATAAAACTGAAAATGGGATGTTTTTATACACAAAGATAGAAATTGTATGCTAAATATGTTCGGTGCCACAATACGAGAAAAATTGCGTTTAATTATGCAGAATATTTAAAAATAATTTGTCGTCGAAAATATAATATACAAATATGTAATTACATTATTACTTTTACAGTTACGTAACGAGGAAGAGGAGCAAGTATTAAATAAATCGAAAGACAAGACAGAACTGGCGCGAGGAACTCGTCGAGAGGAATGATAAATAAAGCGACGCGAGCAACTGACAGCGACTGACAGCGCGCCTTGTGCAATACGTCAAAAGCGCAATTAAGGGAATGTTATGAATGAACTAACTACAATGTTACTCACAAGAAACAAAGATGAGGTGACGTGTCGCGCGCATCCTCTGAGATGACAGAAGACTCGTTCCGGAGTAGGAAGTGAGGTTAAGGGATCCCGCAGGAGAAAACACACGGCGTGAAGTTCACGCCGAGAGAGCGCGTTCCGCGGGCAAGTTCACGCCGTTTTTCGTCAAGATCGATCGGGTCCTTCGGGGAATTTTTCGCGACCTTTTCTCCGCGCGACGAGACACCTTGTCCTCGTCGTCGAGCCTCGGATGCTCTCGCGAGGAAGCGCGTGCAATTTCGCCCTTGATTGAAGCGGCGCCGGGCTTGGCCGCAATTGGCTGCAATTCTCGGACTCTCTTAAAAATAAACGCGGTGTCCCCGGTTGACAGCGGGGTGGCACGAACGCGCGCTAGGGGCTCTCCTTCTCGGACGACGGGGCCTGTTACTCGACAAGTGCCGACAAGTCTCGTCGCGCGACGCGAAAAGAAACTCGTATCTGCCGCCGACGCCGACGGCGTGCGACGCGCGTCTCGTTAATTACGTAACTATTGTTGAACGGCGCGTAAATAAAAGCTACTTACCGCTGATCGAGGCGAAAAACGTCAGGATCGCGCGCACACACACACACGCGGCACGTTACGTTCTGCGGAGACTGCTTCGGCGCAACCGCCGCGCGATGGCGCTCGCGCGTGGCCGCCATCTTGGATCAATCGGCGCCGGGGCGCCGGGATAAATGCGCGCGTAAATTCTCGTTTCTCGACAGGAGGGTGAGGTAAGATGATTTATTAATATTAATTAAATTTGCATGAATGTTTCAAATGCAATGTCGCGCAAAATTAAATAACCTCACAATTATTATCAATATACTTATTATATCTTTTCCATAATTATTCAATATTATTATTCATAAATTCTGAAATAAAAGATATTATTTAATAATGAAATAAAAGATACATGATATTCATTAGCCATAATTTTTGTAATTTTTTTATTTCATCAAATTCACATTAAAAGTCTAAATATAAAATCTGTTATAATCTTTTCGATTATTATTCATAAATTCTAAAATAAAAGATATATAATATAATAATGAAATAAAAGATATATGATATTCATTATCTATCATTTCTGTAATTTTTTACTGCATCAAATTCATATTAAAAGTCTGTTATAATCATCACCGATAAAGTAAACATAAATTGGATGTAAATCAAATTAACACAAAATAATATTTAATATCTAATGGATATAATTTATATTTACATCAATCATTAATGTGACTTACACTTTTATGCTCAGACTCTGAATATTAAATTAATAGCAGTATTTAGATTATGATTGCAGTGAATTAGAAAAAGTTGAACTTGAAATGTGAACTTGAAAATGTTCGATTGATCAATCAAAATAAAAGAAGCCAATATCCGTCCTTATTCCGTCAGTTAAAGGTTTTGAAGTATTTGTAACGTCTGATTGATTGCAGATTTAATCTTAAATATCTCAACTTTTACTTATGAACTATACATATTCCCTTTATAATACTACTATTTAATTGTGATTAGTCTTTAGTCGGAAATATCATGAATTAAAAAGACTCATTCTTTTGATTCTTTGCCATTTATAATTCTCACAATAAGTTTATTATAATTTGTATAATATATAAATGTAATTTTTTTAGTCTATTCTTACTTAAAACACAAAAACTAATACACATGATACATGCATCTTGTCAGATTGTACGTATTGAATAAATCGTTGGCAAAATATAAAAAAATAGCGAGATCGTATATGAATAAATAGTGCATAATTGGAACGTATTAATGAAACGGCATTTTTTTAAATTCTTAAGCTTAATAATATAAATTATAACAATTGGCGGACATGCAACTCAATATCAATCGCACGTAACATTCATATATGCGACAATACAACACAGCAGTGCTACTATTTGCGCAATTAATGTATCAATAAGAGACATGTGCTGATAGTAGAAAGAATTATATCAATATGTATTCATGTGATGAAAAAATATAAAAACAAGCGAAAAATTAAAATATAAAATATAGCATTTAGTGATTTATTGGTATATTATTTCATCGCGATGCATAAACATAAGGAATATTGTATATTTCTATACTATGTATGTATATACATATTCCAATTATGTATATACTTTATATTAATTATATTAATTATATATAATACATATATGTATATACACATGTGTGTATTTGTATATATATGTATATATATGTATATATATGTATGTATGTATATATACATATCTTTTTCATACATTTCTAATGTCTAAATGATATTTGTGATAACTTAATGTACTTTCTTAAGCATACACTTTCGTCATATGTAATAACTTACTTATATATCATTTATGTATACTCAAGAATCAATTACTTCTTATATAAATAGTACAGGCAATTATCTTAAATGATTAAAAGATATTACAAATATCTCTTCTTACATTTGTAATAGATATTACAAATATGTATTACATCCTGCACGACATGAAATTCTTTCTCTTTCATATGTGGAAGTTTGATAAGCAGGTTGACGAGCTTCCCGCCATCGTCGGGAGCTGATTATTAAATTTATTAATAAAAACGACTTATCTATTACTTAACAAGTATATCTCTCTCGCATCACAAGCGTGTCGTCGCAAATTCATTCTCATATTTGGCTATAAATTGCGTCAATTTCATTAAAAATCATAAGCTGGAAGCTTAGAACGTATGTGCGTTGCGGCAGATGCCGCAACCTAGAGCAAACTCTTCTCCGGTCGGCGGATGCTTCACGTGCAATGGACATTCGTCTCCTTCTAATTGCTTTGCTTTGGAACCTTGGAAAAAGAAAAAAATCGATAAAGTACTATCATCTCTGCAAAATGGTTGTCTTGATAATGAAAAACGTATACGTACCAGCGGGACATACAGGCAACTCGCTCTTTGGGATAGTGGTAACACGCTGAAAGTCGTCGTGGCAGGGTTTGCAGAAGTGCGTAGTTCCGAAGCAGAAGAAGACTGCCACTGAGCAGCAATATCGACATTTATACTCGAGGAAGTCCGCTCCGTGCTTCGGACACATCTGTGCCCTTGCCACGTCGCTACAGCCACCGCACACTAATTCCGCGGGGTCGAAAGACTCCCCGCCCAGTTGTGCGTCGCAACGCGCCTCGCCACCATAATAAGCCTTCTGACACTTGTAACATACGTAATAAGCGTATCGCTCCATCGCGTAGACAGCGGAGTCTTGGTAACGACCGCCGGGTGCAAAAGTTCCTTCGGCCCTGCGGAAAATAAAATGTTGTTTATATTTTTAGAATATGCCCTTGAGATACATTAAGTATATTTTTTAGAAAGAAAATATTACTTGTGCAAGCCTTCATATTCCAAGCGCATTAGAGCCTTCCTTCGTACGTCCTCGTAGAGTTCTTTCACGCTTGCCAGTTGTTCGGACAACGTTGGGTGATCCATTGGTACTTTGCAGATTGGGCAGAGAGAGAAACCGAAGGTGATCCGGGGTCCCACCCAGCGCTTCATCAGGACGTGTCGGCAGCAATGCAGATGGAACACGTGGCCGCACTGCAACTGAATCGCCGGCGCGCAGGACAGGGCCTCGGTGAAGCAAATCATGCACATGTCATCGGCATCCTGTTTCAAATCCGTTCCTGGTAAGCAACGATGCAAGCAAGGTAAACAAGTTCTCTCGTTTCTAACACCCCCGCAAATGTGACCACAAGAGTGAACCTTGTTACAAGCGTTCTTGGCATGTTCCTGACAATCGTGATCGGCGCAAATGTTGCCTATCGCTAGCAAACCCGTGTTTCCCGTAGTGCCGCAAAATCGGCAAATACCAGTAGTGGCGCCGACCGGTTTCCTCGGCGAACCGTCGCGAAATTCTATTAATGCCTTCAATGTTCTGCTATCCGCTAAAGCCAAGATCCAGAAGAGTTTCGTTCTGCCGCAACCTTCGTGAAGATCCACTCGTATCGCTTCCTCTTCTTCTTTGCACACTTGTCTAAGATGGGTTCTGGTCCTTCTATGAAGGTGTAGAATTTTGTCGCATTCCGCGCACAAATTACCACAAACATTACATTGAATAATAGCTGTGGTTTCGTCGTCATCGTGATTGCTACAAGTTGGCTAGAGAAAACAAAAAATAAATAAAATCAGTTAAAATTGTACTGTATATTATATGTAATAATCAATAGAAATGCAAGGAATAATCTTACTCTAGGTGGCAGTGGTTGCCCTTCAGAACCACTCCATTGACCAGATGATAATCTTTCAACGTGATCTGAATCCAAAACACACAAAGAGGCGAGTGCTAACCACAGTATCGGGGATCGCAGGCATTCTGTAGGATCGCGACTCTTTTCGTCCAATCTGGTTAAATTTAAGATATTTTCAGCTATAGCCGCTTTCGTTATAGATGCCCATTCCTCCGACAATTTACCCTGTAATAAGAAAAAAAGATATCAATTTATTAATAAGATATTTTACAAGAAATGAATTATATCATAATACTTACCGATGCCATGTCCTTTAAAAGTTGAATTATCACTTCTGCCAATTTACGTGTCATGCAACCTCTTAACCACCATCTTGTTCCGACATAACTTTTCGGATGAATGCTAGTAGCTAATGAAGCGCTTTGAAGTGCCTTGCCATTATCTTTTCCTTTTACTTTAACTTGTACAGTCAATGCTTTTGCAATACAGCTTAAAAATACGTCGAGAATCCCGGCAGAATGTTCATTGAAATCCGAAACATGAGTGAAGCCGCTATTTGCCGCGGATACGATGCTGAAGTCGGTAGGGGGCAATCGTTCGACGTTTATAACGCTCGCTAGTGTTTCGGGTTTAATTTCTGGCAATATTCGTCTTAGGAGAGATGTTACCTGAAAAAATATAATCGTGATGAAGATGATTTCAAATTTTATGCCTAATTTTTCAAACGCTAGTGCAAAGAATGTACCTGACGCTGCACTCTTGCTGACCCGGTATGCAATAAACTTAATAGATCCTTTAGTAAACCAGTCTGATGTGATAGATAATATTGCCCTACAGAACTTCCGCTTAAAGCAAGAACCATAGAAAGCATTTCAAAGCAATAAGTATCGGCCGCTTTCGGCAAATCACTGTTGTCACTCAACAGACTATTAACGGGAGTTGGTGAACACAGAAGCAACTCCCATTCTTCTCTCAAGCGTATAGTTTCTTTTCTAATCGCTTGCACGATATGAGTACACACTTGTTTTTGTAAATGAGTCAAGTTACTTCTGCTAAATAATATTCCGACCATATGTTCTCGAAGATCATTACTATCCTCCAAATCTTCGTTAACGCCTTCTGTCGATTCTGCCTGTTGTTGCTTGTCTCCTTGTATAAGTTTCCCAAATACCTGCAATACAACACGATACATTGTGAGAGTATAATATTTTAAACGAAAAATAACACACATTATAAGAAATTAAACTTACTTGAGAAGTAATTAAACGAAATACTTTCAAAGTTTCTGCCTCGCAATTTCTTTGCTGAATAGTCTGTGCGCTTAGCTGTTTTCCTATTTTTAAAGATCCTCCTTCGATCTCACCAAGCACTCTGATTTGACGTACTCTCAAAGAATTATCTGGACCCTTTAATTCCATGCCTACGACTACATGACGTTGGTCTGTAGAGAAATATATATAATTACAATACAATACAGCTCAAACATCTTTAAAACATGCTTTGTTTTTTAATAATAATTACAATATTTTTATATATTACCAGTGATTGAACAATTAATCCATCCAGCTGATCTGCTCTCAATTTCTACAGATCTCAGTTTTGTCATCTCATCGGCATTAACTCCAGACAGAAAAGTCACGCTTGACACTTTGTGCTTTTAAATAAAAATATTCAATTAGTCAAACATTATTTGTAATAGAAATAATTAAATTTTTGTAAAAAGAACTTACTGTTAAATCGCGGCAGTTATCGATGTGTACGTACAACATTCTAGGCAATGTATGAGCACCACAGATGATAGTAATCACTTTAGTTTTATTACGATCTTCATCTCCGGATTCCCAAAATGTTTCCGTTGAATTGTCCGTTAGACTACCAATCATGGCTTGACGACTGGAAGCTTTGATTTCGACACTAGATGTTAAATCTTTTAAAACTTCCACACAACTGCTTATCTGTTGCGAAACAGTCGACTGATGGCTCTCATGCATACTCATCGTCACATCCTCTTCTTCTTCGGAACGAGAAAGAATTTTGCTAATGTTACTAAATACATGACTTCTATGCAGAAACATGTGATCTGCTGGCGTAAATCGAATACCCCAGCATCGAATCGCAGCTTGTTGTAATGGAGATCCTGCAAATTAATAAAATTAATTATTATAATATATTTATTTTAAAAAATATTCACTCAGATTTACTGCAAATTATTTACCAAGAGGTGGTAATAACATTAAATCCGCAATTGTTTGCAATAAGGTGTGAAACACTGTAGGTAATGGATTGACAGATTCTCCAGCTATCACTAAATCACATAAAGGATGCTCACTGACGCCGATTGTATCCTGAAAATTAAAGTAATAATCATATCATATTCATGTCTAACAAGTAAATTTTTATTAAAAATGTCACTTACATGATCTTCTTTCTTTTCTGTTTTATTATCATCATCATTTGCATCTGTAGTGTCAGAAGAAACGATCGGTGTAAGAGATGAGACGAACCACCATAATAAATCGTGCAAACAAATTGGTTGCGTTACGCTTCTTAAAAGCCAATTTAATGCTTGCATTGCGTAAACTCGACAGGCGGCACGACGCAATGCTTGCTTCATCGCAAGCTGCAGATGTTGCAAATTGTGTTGCTGAAGAACGAACAACATCACAGGTCTCATGAGAATCTCAATTCGATCATTACTTGCTACTTCAGTTTGACTAGTGGATACTATTGCGGATTGATCCATTGATGGTACTAATTTCTGAAGTGCAGCAGATGGATAACATAAAAGCGAAGAACCCGCTTCTGAAAAATAAAATTGAAATATATTTTACTTATTTAAAATCGAAAATATATTTTTAATATTTATTAAGGAAAGAAAATTCTTAATAATTATTTATAATAAGAAATAATATTTTACTTCAAATATATAGAAACACGCATACCATTACTCATTTCGCTACTGCTATTGTTCCGTTTCCTCATCATAACAACTCTGCCATCGTTACTATTTCTAGCCCAAGGTGCACCGGTAGACATAGACACCGATCTATGGAACATGCTGCGATTCTTGCTACTTTCATTGTCACTATCACTCATTGGATACTCTGATAATGGCTGGAAATTGAAGAACGATTTAATTGAAGCAATGTTAAATATTAAAAATAGAGAAAAAGAATATCTTTTTACCCTGCCATTTGTGTTATTGAATGTGCTATTGTTTCCTTCATAATTATTTTGTTGTCCATTTTCACGTCTCAGAGTCTCTTCGTAATATCTTTCATCGTGACTTTGTGAGTGATGAACACCTAAGGCTTGCAAACACTGGAATGGTCCTGTTGGCGGAAATGGCCCAGCGGCTTCTGGAGGACTATAATTCTCCGCCACCGACGATAAAGTCTGTGAAGGTCGTCTTTGCTGTTTCGGAATATTGAAACCAGAAGCGCTAGCCAAATCCAGTAGAAACATCGCATTATTTTTCATTATAATATGAGTTTCATTTCCACTGGGACTGTTAATCGGAGACAGAATTTTGCTCGTGCCATTTTTTCTCTTGGAAATCCCGCTTACAAATTTCTTCGCAAACTTGCTCTTCCTGGCCTTCAAGTACTTATCTCTACATGTGTCACAGATTAAGTACCACGAGCTACCACCAACTCCGCCATCTCCGCAATTGCCTGCCCACCCTACGCAGTAATTTCCACCGCTATTATATCCTTTCCCACCCGCGTGCCAGCCACAACCTGGATGCATCATCTTCATGTGATAAGTAACTGGATGTGGGAACATCAGGCCACAAAGCTCGCAGATAGTCTCGCGCTCGATTCCCGCCAAAACCTCAGATGTATTCGCTCTACCAATAGGTTTCCATTCCTTCTTTTTCCGACTACTTTTCTTCTCGCGTTCCTTCACTTTATCCTCTCTGGGACGTTTCTCTGGTATCGGCCGTTTCGCCAGCTTCATTGTCTGTATCTGCGATATAGGACTAGGTAGAATTGACTGTTGTTCGATGGCCTGCAAACAATTGGTGCTAAGTTCTTCCCATAGAAAAACTAGGCTCTTTAACGCGGGTGGTAGTACCGCGACTGTGTGAAATTCGGGCAGAGAACTGAGCTTGCCCGAGTTTGCCTGAATCTCTTCTTTGAGCGTATTCTCCTGCTTCTTCCTGTTTCTATTGGCATTCGCGTTCGCGGCTGAACGCGTGAGAGTCTCTAATGTGCTAGGTTGGATGTGCAAATAATTACCGGCATTCGTCACTTCGACAGAATGTCTCTGCCGTGCCTTTTGCTCTTGTTGCTGCTTGTCACTGGATTGTACAACGGTATGCCTGGTTACAACCAGTGCACCTTGTTTCGGTAAATTCGGATGGAACTTGAGGAAACTCGCGCAAGCCATAGCATCGTGCACGATCCCTTCATGCCATAAAAACGCCGCAAAAACAGCCCTCAGACATTCTGCTACGGAAGGACTGATCGCTTCCTTCACTTTGTCTCTACTTAAATTTAGAGCACGATTAGGATTTGGACTTTGTTGTGCATTGGCCGGCGACATGGCACGTTTTGCTCTAGTTTTCACAGCCTTCATGTGATCCCTTCTGCTCATTTTCGGCGAGTGTCGTTCGTCTTTTACTCCGGATGAGCCGATACTAAAGTGACCCTTCATAGCTGTGGTAGCGCTTTCGGGACTCGTCTGCGTTTGCGCTTGAGACATTTTGCGCGGACTTTCCTGAGGATCCTTTAATACAGAATATGATTTATGTAACCTTGCACTTTACATTTACCCTTGCATTTTATATGATATTGTAAAGATTTTATCTCATGTAAGAAGTAAGATTAAAATATGCATAAGAGGTTTTTATATTAAAATGCTTACGGCATTTTCCTTTTTCGGAGTATCGGGCGGACTTGCTATGCTGCCCTCGGATCTCATGTGTAGAGAACTGCAACTTGGACTCGGTGATAAATCACGTGTATTGGCAGTAGTGCTGATACCGCTCGGTGACTGAGATGGATCTCTCGTCAAACTGCTAACCAAGGCACTTGTGTCGCTCTGCGTCGAACCACGGCGTTGCGACGTTATGCTGTCGATCATCCCTCCTGATACTTAAAAAAAAGAAATAATAATATAATAATGACCGGAGTCATATGGCATCTGCAAAATACACTCGAATATTTAATTCTGATGGCAAAAGGGTATCACTTTCTCACCTTAATGGCAAAACGCATGGAGAGCGATAGAGCAAAACACTTATAACACATTCGCTTACATAATTCATCCAAAAAATTTAATTCATGCAGATTAATTTCGTGCAACTGTGTTGAAAAAGTTTCTTTGGCAAGATGTATATATATATATACATCTTTCGTTTTTGTATTAAAATGTGAAATATAGATTACAGCAATATGAAATTTGATGATTTCTTTGTTCGATTTTAACGCGATTTAACGAGGATTAGGATTTAAATATATTAGCGTGTATTAATGATCTTACCTAATAGGGAGAGGCCGACACTTCGGGGGGAGCCGCAGAGTACAGGGCTGCTACTCATACTGTCTCCCCCTCCTATCGCGCTTCTCCCACCTAATAATTTTGATTAATTATAGCATGTTTATTAAGTACGTCTTAATGATTTAACTATGCTCTCGGTTTCTGAATCGCGCAAAGAGTTTATTACTTATGTATATGATGTAAACAATCATGCATCAACTAAGAAATGAAACGATATCGCGTGCCATTCCGATTGCTATTTCATAATACATGCATAATATAATATCGTAATATTCACTGATTAATATGTGAAGTGGAATTCTACTGTGCCATCAATATATATCCTATATATATGTAATAGAGAGTGATATATTAAAACAGATCATAAATGATACAGATTTGTGCACTATTCAATATTTTACAACTTTAATAATTCATAGGATAGGAGCGAGTACCTGGTGCATTAGCAGCAGGAGGGAAGAGGCAATTGCCAGAAACGGCTGGCTGTCGACTGGACCCAGCTAAGATCAACATGACTAATTTGTTATAACTAATTCACAAACATATATAAATATATTTAATTAATAGAGTTAATATATAATATATATATAATTGTCTAATATTTTTTTCTATCACATCTATCATGTACTTTATCGTAATATCACTATTTCGAAATCGTCATTATCGTATTCTAACGCGATAAAGAAAGGAAGTATAATAAATACAAAATATTTTGCATTGTTGCCTTACAAGTATCGGCGTCCGTTCTCACAGCTTCTGAAATAATTTCATTTTCAAAGCAATTGCCAAATAGTGCCAAATTACACAAGAGTACACATGGATGTACAACATTATAGAGATGAGTCATGAAGTAAATTTGTTCGATAGAGAAATGAGATAGAGAGACTTTATATTTCAGCAAGATATCGCATATATACCAGGTATTGGGACCGGACTAGAAGATGGACTGTGAAATCTCGGCGATCCACCTTGGGGATTCTTCGGCGAGGAACTTCTTGACGTTCGACGCGGTGTTTCCGGCGGTGTCGCCCCATTGCCATTCGCACGACTTTCCCCCATTGCTTTTACCAGCTCCTTCACAGATACGCCCACAAATTCGGAGAAATCCCTGAAAAACATTAATCATTAGTATATGCAACATGGGAATTCCAACTTTGAAATTTACTATTTTTTAAAATTTGCCATAAAATTTGTTACACAAAGAAGAAATAAGAGGCATCATAAATAGTTAAGATAATTCGTTTTTTCGTTATACAAAAAGAATAAGTATTTTCAAATTTTAAAATTTAATGATATAAAATTCAGAAGAAAAAATATAATATATTGTGTAAATAATTTTCAAACTGCTGACTAAAGATTGATATACATACTTAAAAATGTTAAAGATATATCAAAAGAATATATTATGCAGGAAAATAAATACCTGCCCGGAGAACTTCTTTTTTCTCCATGACATTTATCATCACCTCGTAACCATTTCTGAAGAACGCTAAATTTTCCTCCGCCACCTTCTCTTTCCCGCTCTTTGGCCACTCTTTCTTTCGAATGAGGTTTCGAGAACTTTGGAGTACCGTCAGCTTTTTCTGGTATAAATCGTTCGCTCCCTGAAATATATATTTAATATTTGTATACAATATTATTCTCTCTCTCTCTCTTTCAGATTTATTTTTGAAATTATTATACCTGGCGAATCATGTTGATTATACGAGCCGAAAACAAATGGATTTGTATTACAACCCTCAATGGACTCGGCCGTATCCGGCGTGTAATTTTGCGTAGTAAAATTGAAGCCCTCGTGACTAACGGAAGGTACCGAAAAATCAAAACCTTTATTACTCGGTGAAATGGCCGGGTCCGGTATTGGCTTTTTTTCGACCGGATCGTTTTCTAAATCCTGCTCGAGTTTCATATAAATTACACCAGTTTGTTTGTTGATCGCGAGCGACCATGCCTCTGTGCTTCGACCCTTGTCGAAACAATACTTGGCCACCGAATCGTCATCGATACGCACCCAAGTTCCTTCGTGATTCACGCACTATGACAGATAAATCGTGAAGTGTTATACTACATGTATAAACGGACATTTGTTAATGCATTAACATTATTATCTTATCAGTATCAACTTACGTATTCTTGAATAGTCACTGTATTTCCAAGCGCTAACATTCCAATTGGCGCGGCTTTCAAGCTTGGTTTACTCCTAATATTGTGTCCGGAAGCTCCACATTTCACGACTATCATACTTCTTCCGGCATCGAAGGTCACCATCTTTCTTTTGCTAAGTGATTATATTAAAATTAGAAATAAATAAAAATGAGTAACGGAAGAAAGATTTGTTTACATACTCGTCACCAGTATCAGGCCGCTTTCGCAGGATAGTTTCTTTGATGACTTGATCTAGAATAGACTTTGGTTCCTCCACTGGTAGGAGCAGAGTTTTTCCTAAATGCTGATTGTACTGCAAGCACCAGGCTTCAAGATGACTACTGTTGCAGTATTCCTTGATTGTCTCCGCATTCAAACGTAACCAAACGCCATCATCGTTGTGAATCTAATCAAACAGAAAAGGAGTTTTATTCTCGTTTCAATGTCTCTTTCATTTTTGAAATATCTAAAAATAATTTAATCTAAAAATATCGTACAAAAAAGATAAGAACACGATATTTTTGCTAATATTTTTTCGATATTTGCAATTTGGCGAAAATCTACATTTTCACTTATTTCTTATAATAAGTTTTAAAAAAGTAAATTCGATTAGAACGCCAATAATTTTTTATGTCTTACCTCATCAACGAAAGCTATAGTGCCGTTAACCGAGACGAATCCGATTTGTTCGCTTTGCAGAGATGGATGAGCTCGTATTCTCAAGCCAGCGCTATTCTTCGCAACAAATTTCCTGAGTCTGCTCGGCTGAAGCTGAGGCTTTTTGACAATGTTTTGAGTAGGCGGTTGCATACCTTGCGGAGGTTCCTTCACTTCGACTTTGTAATTCTAAAAGGAAATGAATTAATATACTTAAGCTTTACTTCCGTCTAGTAAAGAAGAAACAATAGGATTAGAACTGAGAATTCAATTTAGTCCCAAGTAATATCTTAGAAAATAAAAAGCCTACGTACATCCTCCATGTTGTAACCGTCCACCGTGATCATCAACGAGTACCAACCGACGGAGGATGGTGTCCATGTAGCACTGTAACTGCCATCGCCGTTCGGTCTGACCAACATACTCTCGCTGGATCTCTTAACGGTGGGAGACATAAACCTCAGTTCCTCGAACGAATAATTTTGATAGGCTTTCATGATGGTGATGGCGTAGAAGCACATTTTATTGTTGATGGTCACCTCGTATGGGACATCCAAGGAGGGCTGTGGATGACCGCCAAAGGTCAGAGGGTCCGGTTGAGAAACACGGCGGATTTTTCTGCTCTGATCGGATTCTGTGATGTCTGTCTTGTCGATTGGCACCGCCTTGACTTCGATCTGCAAAGACGCCAATTTGACATTAAGAGATCCGATCGAGTAACACGAAACGCAGAGAAATATATACCTTTAATCCGGATACATGCACGACTTCTCCATATTGATCTCTCGTGAGCACGGTGACGATTGCCGGCCATCCGCATCTCATTTCTTCCCGGGAATATAACGCCTCGCATTGGGAGGGATCGACGAAGCTATCCGGTTGCAGCCATCGCGCGAGTCTACCACCACTGGTGCCAGCTGAGCAGGAGACGAAGTCGCGTAGGAAAAGGCGCTCATTTGAGTGACAACTGTAATGAAACATTCCAAATTTAATTAATCATCAAAGCATTTCTTATTATTATACTAGCGTTATATCAGCAGTATCATTTCCTCAATCACGTACTATATATTTAATGATATATAGAGAAATAAATTTCAGATTTAGAGAAAATTTTCGAAAAAAATATTACATTTTTTTGCAATAATTTATTTCTTAAATCATTATATTTATTCAGGCTATAATATAAGCTTTAATTCACATTCACATCGAGAATCATGTCTTTTTATTCACGTCATGGTTCGGATTTTGTCACGAAATATACAGGCAAAAGTTACTTCTTTCGGCTGGCATGCTGGCAAAAGTTGGGAAAAATCTCGACTCTTTTATTAATGAAATATATAAAGTGCGAGAACTAATCGTATATTCCGATTAATATAGCACGATGTAAAATTAATAACGGCACGAGAAGTAGGAAATGGAGATTTTCCGTTGAAACTTTTATGTATAATCCTTCGTTAGTCATATCGAGGATTGCAGACCGCTACACCGAGAATATAAGATCATTGTGCGATACGAGAGATATACCGAGGTATATAAACGTTCGCGAAAGTTTACGGTTCGCGGAGGGTGGATTTTTATTGCAAAATCGAGCTAAGTCTATTACCGGTATACAGGTAGAGCGAGCGCAGTTCATTAAAGCGGGTTTGAGAGCCGTGATGCCCCTAATTGGTAAGTGCGCTTGGATCTCGACTGGGTAGATCGCGAATAGAGGACGATGCTCCTCTACCAGCCAGACAATCGTCGCTTCTCTCGCGGATTCTCGTCGGACTTGTCCCTAATAAGGCGCAATCACATCGCGGTCCTTCTCCTCGAAGCTCGTCAACGTGATCCGCGCCTCGCTGCCTATGTACCATTGTATTAAGCGAGTGAACTATATCTGACATCTAAATGCATTTGAGAGAAGGGATGTTATAAAGTTTCTGAAATTCAGAACGCAGAAACTTCCCCCGATTCTAGATGATGAGAAATATGGCCTATATGTAAGCTGAGTTATTTTAATTTTAATAATTTTAACTTTCATCTTTCAATTTTTTCCCCTCATATAAATTTAGTATCTTTAATCATTTTTTGTGAAATTATTAAATAAAAATAAGACGAAAATAAATAATAATAACATTAATACTGTTCGTGTGTTGTAAAGCAATAATAAAAATTCTAGGGCCAATAATACGAGCTAATTACTAAGGTCTAAATAAAATAAAGCCAATATTAATAAGTTCATTTAATTCAAACATCACAAACGTTTCGACTTTACTTAGTCTTCCTCAGTATGAAAAATAACAAAATCAACATATTAAAATCATCTGTATTCCTTTAACAATATTATTCGTATGTCGCAGAAAAGTAAGTATAAATTCAGTCAAAATGCAAAAAAAGGAAAATTCATCATTAGAGCGCTATAGGAAAATAAACAATAAGAAGCCCACATACATTCATACAAAACCAAATGCTTCGACAGACAAAAAATGAGTAACCTGGATCGCCATTTAGCGTCCTATTCAAACCAACTTTATTATTGGGAGGCGAGAAGCTCTTAATTTGAAATTACGGCTACGACAAGCTGTGTCCGAGTCTATCACTTGCATGATGATTGTCATACACGTGTCTCAATAAGGCTCAATACAGTCTTAAAGGCTTCTCATTATTTTGGAGTCAAGAACATGACTCAAGCCTTATTGAGACACGTGTATGATAATACACGTTTAGACCTTAGTAATTAGCTCCTATTATTGGCCCTAGAATTTTTATTATTGCTTATTAAATAAAATTATTAAATAATAAAATAAAATTATTAATGTAAAATTGTTAATATACTTATAGATACCTATGGTTTTCTCAGTATAGAGTGTAGAACCGACTCTGTATTTTTATCGTAAGAACCGGTATTCTGGAAAAATCAAGAGAGAGATCTTGCTAGCATTCCCGCGTATCGATCGATTACGGTATTTCCGGGTGAAAAATAATCAAAATCGGTATTTCCTTCGATGTCTTCGTGACCAATAAATATATAATATATAAACACAATAGTGTATAAGATAGTTTAATTAAGAAATATATAAATATATAAATATGTTTAAAAAGTATTTATTAGTCTCCGTTTCAGATTTGTATCTTTTATAAAAACAGAAATTTGGATGTATTATGAATAATTGTTGATAATGGTTCTGGAGAATTTTAAACTATTTATACATCAATTATTAATACAATTCAAATAAGTATATATTTGATATTAGTAATTAATATTTCAGTAATTAATATCTAATATATTTTAATATATTAATATTTTATTTAATAAATATTTCATATTAACATTTTAATATGTACTATATATTAATATTTAATCAACAAACTATTAAATAGAGCGACATCTCTTACGTTAAACTTAATATCGTCCTAATTAATTTAATTTCGAGTGGTCATTCTAACGTCGTTTTGCTCATTAATTTAATTTTAGAAGAGACCACTTTAGCGGATTCTAGATTACAAGGAATTAAATTCCGATGACTGCCTCGACTCTCAGGATGAGAGTTATGTTACAGCCTCGATCCAGGTCTGCGGTATCGCGGCGCGTATCAAACCATGTAACAAATGTAATTTTCGCGAGTCAGATATAAGCGTCGAGGAACAGCGCGCTCTCGCCATCGATCATAGTCACGACGAAAAAGATGAACGAGCGGCATGCTAAAGATAATAGACATTGGTGCATAATGCGAGAGAGAGAGAGAGAGAGAGAGAGAGAGAGAGAGAGAGAGAGAGAGATGGGGGAGGAGGGGGTGGATCGGGGGTGTGCTTTAAAGATCAGTATCCACGTGACGTACAGCCGGTACGTGACCATTTCGGAAATGGGCACTTCGCGGAACCTTTCAGTTTGAGAAACGCGTTATGAATGAATGGAACGACGTTTCACAAGCGTGTGTGACAGGGGAAGGAGAAGGCGCGACAAGGGGCTGAAGAGGGTGCGGGGGTGCGCGCGAGCAATTTCTCATGGGAAATTAAATGGGCAGCTTTCCGCTCATAAAGCGAAGAGCTTACGACGAGTACGGCGAGCTTTAGGGAAACCCTATCTGCTATTATGAAAAGCGACGCGGCGGCGTCTTCCAGGCCGCTGTCTCGTTTTTATCGCGCGCGCTTCCCTTGTCGCGTATTTCCGGTTCCGGCGCAATATGTCGGAGACGGTGGTTCGCGTTACTTTTTGTCACACGCCGCGTATCCTTCTTCTATTGTCGACAAGAACGAGTAATCGCGAAAATTACCAGCTCTTGCGGGTGGCAAAAAAATTCGCAGAGATATTCGAACTCGTTCGAAAAAGTCTATGCAATATTTGCTTGATAATGGAAAATTTGTATATAATAATCTGAAGAAATTTTCAAGAAAATTCCAAAAAAAAATTTAATTTCTAGTAAGTCGAAAGCAAAAAGAAAGAGAGATAGTTTTCGAATCAATTTTTATTAACAACTAGATTTTATATTCGTTATTCGTGATACAAATTTAAATTACGATTAATCATCTTATTAATTTGATTCACAAAATGAAATTATTTTAATAATTAAAGTTTTAAGAGATTGAAACAAATACTAAAAAAATTTATTTCTATCAAGTCGAAAGCAAACAGAAAGATAGATTTCGAATCAATTTTTGTAAGCAATTATACTTTATCCGTAATGCAAATTTAAATTTGGTTTCAATCATCTTATTAATTCTGATTCAAAATAAAATTACTTTAATAATTAAAATTTTATAAAGACATTGAAACATAGATATTAATAAATTGACAGAAAACATAAATTTTGAATTTCCTTCTCTCAGCTTATAAATTAACAGCTTCATAATTTAATAATTAGTATCAATTCTAATTAAAACTTTGTCACTGTAAGCAATGTATCTTTTATCGCGTAAGATCTCCTTTTGTTGAAGATAAGATAAAATCTTAAGAATTCTATTTTTATCCAATGCCATGTTTACGTGCATGGATTAAAAAAAATACATTTACACGAGATCTTCAGTAAATAATTAATACACTGATTATCTTATTAATGCTTAAAACCAGAAGCATCTAATATTTCGTTAATAAATAAATACGATGCAAAGTTCGATCGATATTTCTCGTAATCGAATTTCTATAAAAATAAAAACACATAAACTTCGCTTTCTATAAGAGCGACACGCCGATTAAACCCATTGACCGGGGTTACAAGCCCTGAACGCGGCTTGCGCAATTAACATCCGCGATGAACATCGGTCATTTCGATGTGGATCAAGGGTACTCCGAATAATTTGGTCAAGGTCGTCGTTGAGCCATAGACAGTGCACACCTGGCAGGTGTGCACTGTCGAAAAGAGTCGTCGTTAAGCCATAGACAGTGCACATCTGCAGGTGTGCACTGTCCTATGGCTTAACGACGACTCTTTTCGACGCAGGTGTGCAGTGTCTATGGTTCCCATGAACGCAGCGCAACGATGAAGTCCTCGAGAAAGAGCACGAGCGCCCTCTGATTCCTTCGAAGCCGATGATGACGAGTCATGGTCGAGTCATCTCCCTCTTTATCTCTCAAAAGGCCTAAGAGAGACAAGACGTGCGGCGAAAGGCGAAAAGAGAGAGAGAGAGAGAAAGAGAGTGGCGAGTCGCTGTAGATCTAGGTGGGGAGCAGACACCGATCGTGTATGCTACCGACCACAGTTTAAAAGCAACCTTCGTAACGATCGCATCAACTGGTCTCTAGTCGCCTGGCTTCCTTCTGTCAACGAACGCGCGCGAATCGATTAATTAATCGATCGTTGATTTCACTTTCCACGCATCGTGAAAGTTCGTCGTCAGGGATCAAGGGCCCGATAAAGGGGGAGATGTGTCTTCTTGTTTGCCCGGACGCGAAACGCAAGATCCATCAGCGGAAAAAGTCGCGAGGATAAGGAATACAGTGTCTCTTGATCGATCGATTTACGCGATCGATTGGCAGATCAATGATGGCATGGGTCTTCGCTTCGCATGCTTCGTTGTGTCTTCGTATCATCGTTCCACGACGAGACCAGTGATCGGATCGTTATGAGAGAGGCCGCGATCGTGCGAGGAAATTGACAGGTGATGATCTAACGATCGCTCTGATCGCGTTCGATCGAGGATCGTCGCATGATGAGTGCCAAGCGAAGAGTGTCGAGCGGCCTGAATGGGCTCGTTATTAAGTGTGATCGTGGGATCGTATGCTTGGTGTTTCTACTGTGGTATCTCGCGTTCCTCCCATGCATCGTCGAAGCCACGAAGGCAGGGATATGTGCCATGAACGGCTGCAACTGCACCACTCAAGCGCACCGATGGATTAACGTCAAGTGCGTCTTCTCCAAAGAACAGGTGAATGCAAGGGCCGCCGTTGCGACCTTTATAATTTCGCGATAAAAATAAGCGAAATTAACAGAGAAATCAAAATTATTCTTCTCTATCTCTCTATATTTTTTAAAAAATCCAAAAATTATTTAAGAAATTATTAGAATAATTATTAGAATATTAAAAATTATTTAAGAAATTATTAAAGATTTTATTAGATTTTATAAGAGTGTAATTTTTTTGGAAAAGAAAGATTCTATATCTTATCAATAATAAATAAATTACTAATCAATTAAAAGACAATAAACAACACTATAATTCGGTGGTTCTGGGAAATAAAGATATCATTCCTCTCTTACTTAAATTGAAAATTAATACTCGATGCCGATTCTTTCGAAAAATACCAACAATAAGCGACAAGGAACTTTAAAGTTGTCAAAGTCGCAACTGTTGCTCGCGCTTTTGATTAATGCGCAGTTTTTCGCGAATTATACGCGAAATCGCGATTTATCTCGGCATCCGGCGCTCCATAAAAGAGAAGTCGTTAATGCACGACGGTGAAAGTTTACGGTGGAGTTTTGGATTCGCCTTCCACGCGAGATTAGCATATAAATCATTGGCCCGGTAAATACGCTGGGAATCGCGTGCATGGAAGCGCACGCAATGCGTGCGTTCGTTAAATGCAGACCGGAATCAGTCGCGTAGAGAGAGATCTGAATTTCAAATAATTGTAAGATTATAATACATAAATTTATAATATATAACATATAACATATAAAATATATAAAAATGTTTATAAATCAATATATGCGAAATTTGAATGCTAAACAAGATCTGATATTTTCATCGATAAAAGTTTCTAATAAATTTAAAAAAATAAATTAATAAATTTAAATAAATTAAAAAAAATTTTTTTAATTTAAAAATTATTTTTCGTTTATCATTATTCAAGTGCAGCACCTTTTTAGATATAATATGATAATAAAAATAATATTGAATTAATATAATGAAAATTGGAAAATTCGATAGAAGCATGATTGAGGGAACATGTGACGTCCGTTTCTTAAACTCCGTCCCTGAGCAGGCACAAAACAAGCTGTAACTTGCACCACCACGTTTCTGTATACGGTATAACGTGCAACAGCCGCAGCCTCACTTGCCGCTCCCGTTGTCAGCTGCACTCAAGCTGAATATCATCCGCAACCGATGCAAAGGCGCGATGCGATGCGCTTCTCGCCAAGTTTTCGAAACACGAGAGACTCAAGGGTTGAAAACGTTCGCGATAAAACTATCACGTACAACATGCCAGGAGCGATAAACTTGTTCAAATAATGGTCAGAGATATAGAGTAAGATCTCTCTGATAGATTTGAGATTTTGAAACAGATTTGAAATATTCCAGAGCCATGCGTTGCAAGAATCTCTAGAGATACGATATACGATATATGGTCCGTAACTCGATTTAACTCCGATCATAAATTTGTGATTGAGATAATACATGATTCAATTTATTTATGGAACGGAAAATTGATTTTACTGCAAAGAATTAATAATGCAGTAACGTTTAATATGTTATGGCAGCCTCGGTAATCTTTTAGATATTAAGAGCGATGATATTTTGCTAGAGAACCTGCTTTTCATCGCTTGAGGAGATGATGAATCTAAATCAATAATTTATTCTAGTTTGATTACATGTAATAAGACGTAGAACATTAATTAATCTATAATTCTTCTCCGAACGGAGGTTGAATTTCTGCCATGCTTCTTGACCGCAAACTGGAGTAAGCCTATTCCCTATCTACGTTATGATCAACCGCTCGCATAGAAACGGAAACCAGTTTTAAGCAGCACTCACAGCACTTGCCTTCTCTTTTATGGTAGCCCGACATACAGTCTAAGGCCACCAGATCGTTTTATTACTTTGTCGCCATTCACTATTTCAGGCTGTTCCGAGTAATCGAGATATTTTCATGCAATACATAAATTATTTAAAATAATTACAAATAAATTATAAATAAATTATTTAAAATAATACAATAATTATTTAAAAAAGTATTAGCTAAAGAGAAAAATATTAATAAAATATCTTTCTCAAATTAAAAGCGAATCACATTCATTTTTGAAAAGTATTCTATAACATATCTGTCTTATAATATGAAAAAAATCTAAAAGTTATCGATATTTCATTGCAAATATTTAAAGTATAATTTACATGATTTTTTCACGTGACTTTTAACGTATCCTCAAACAACTTTTAAATCATGAGAGCGATTCCTGTCCAACCGATAAACGCGTTAAGCGTAGGCGTGACGCGCAGTACAACATGTACCCAGTGTCCTTAACAATTGACAGACAGCAGAGTGACTGGTGGTGTCGATGAATAAAGTCGATAGTAACCGGCCGAGAATAAAATAACGAGTACGTCGAAAGTGTTACGTACGTAAAATTATAAATACACAGTCGTTTTCAAAAATACTAGCTCGAAAAGCGAGGGCATTGACCAACCAAGCGGGCTACAGTGACGGTGTTTTATATTTGCTCAACAAGTGATAACACAGAAACAACAATTGGCAACGTTAAGCCACTATTATACCGTTGGACGGCAGATACTTGGTAATCAAATCAGATTCAGTCACATCGTCACTTATCATTCCAACGCCATTAATTTCATTTATCGTACAGCCGGTTCATCGCTGTGCGATATAACTGACTGGGCTACTCCTTCTTGCTACCTCGTGCAAGTTCACTCGTATCGAAACAAGGACACTTTAATTTGATCGGCGGAAATGACAAATCAAGCGGCGATCAAATACTGAAATCACGGCGAAGAGTGTAGAAACACGCGGATCCCTCTTATAGGGAAATAATGCGAGATTTCCTCCCGCGATCGAGGACTCCGATAATAAAAAGTGATCAAGTTGACTGAGATAATCGATTCATAAATAGGCGTGAATGAAATATTGTTCGTCTTATTGTGCTCTATTATTAGCACAATATCATAATTATATTTACTAAAAATATTACTTAAAAAAATTGCTAAAAATTATTTAAAAATTACTAGAAAGTTGCTAAAAATTACCGAAAATTATTTAAAAATTATTATAAAAATTACCAAAAATTATTAAAAAATTATTAAAAAAATATTTTGTACACATTAAGTTTCATTTATCTTATATCTCTTTATATTTCGCTTATTGATATTTCATCTATGTTAGTCTCGATCACCGAAATTATTTTGCATATTTTACGAGATCTAAAGGGAATACAATTGAGATATTAGAATGAGTCACATGTACACATCCTCACGCGACTTAGACGTTTGACAATAGCCAACTCGCTCGGAATAGAATAGATCGGTCCCGATATCTCCCTTGAATTCCTCCTCGTGCATTCGATCTCGAGCTTAGGTCGACTTCCGCCGCACGCAATTTCCGATCGGAGGGTTCATCGCGAGCGATGCATTGTCCGAGTCAGCTGCTTCACGAATATTTTCTACTTCGTTCGACAACTATTTCAGTATCGCCGCTCAAGTTTGACCCTAATGTAATCCCCCTACCACGTGCTCCAGTTCTAATTTTAGGGTCGAATATTTTAGGGAAGAATTTCCTTTCTCTTCCCCCTTTCATTCCGACTCAAAAAGAGGCGGGGAACCGGGTGTACTGAAGCTATCAAGGATGACTTTTGGATCTCTACGCTAATGTTCGCGAGATGCGCCTTCAGGTGGTCAGCTGTTATTCGCTCGACTGCCGTTGCGCGGGATTTAATTCGCGTGTTTCGCGGTATCTCTGTTGCTATTCGCGATGGTCGTCGATTCGGAATTACACGTGGAAACAACAATTAACGTTGGCGCGCGTTAGCCGTTGCACACCAAAACAATTTCGCGCGGCGCCAGTTTAGGCGCGCGATTTAACGCTCACGGACCCGTTAATAAGCGGCGGCTTTTCCCGACCTAACTCGATTACAAACCGATTGCGATTATGGGGAATGTAGGAGGGCGGGCGAATCTGTTGACGCAAACCGACAAAAACAATATGCCGGCGATTAAAGCGTGCTCTCGCAACGCTGCTTGTAATTTCCCTGTCTCCAACTTCGTATCTTTCCCCCCCTCTCTCTCTTTCCCCATCGTAATCATCTCGAGTGGAGCGAATAAAACCTAACAATCGGAACTGGAAAATAACACGTCGCGCGAAATCGCGCGAGAACGATAGCAGCGCTTAGGACGGAAACGATGCCACCAGATGCACGCGTTACGTTCGACGACCTCAGCTGTAGAAATGTAACAATATTACCTGTCCGCAATTACATCTCGTTAGTCTCGTTAGTCTCATGAAAACAAAGTCTCTCCCCAAAAACTATCCATTCGAGGTCGCTGAATGTTGCGTTAAATTTTACGAGGAGGAAGGGACACACATTGACTTTTATGAGAGTCCTCCTTTCATCCGCATCATCTGCTTCAGCTGTCGATGAATTAATAAATCGAGTAATTATTCATGTACTCATCCTAGGACCCAGAAAGATCAGGAATGTCGTGCGCACGAAATCGCGCTGCGGGTTCGAAGTTCGCCTGGTCCAATCCTCGCTCAATTTATTCACAATAGGCCCTTTCAACGAATTACACTGGTCGGAGATAGTTGGTCAATGCGAGAGAGTCTCACATTGACCATGATGCGGGCTGATTCACGAAGGATAATCTTACATAAATCGAATCTTATTCCCTCGGGCTCAAAAGGCAACTTTTAGAATACATTTTAAAACCTGTATGATATCGTATTTATCCTCTTTAGAATTAACATTCTCATGTAAATCATCCGAAAGACTTTCTTTCCTTACAATCATTGAGAGTATTAATTTATAAATTGATCGATGATAACATTAAAATTGAAATGCCTAGATCTGACCGAGGCGTTTCTAATTATTCAGTTCATGTGCTCATCCTAGGACCCAGGAAGATCGGATCGATGGGAATTTCGTGCGCACAAAATCGCGCTGCGCGTTGGAAGTTCGTCTGGTCCGATCCTCGTCTCGGCT